TGGTTAATATGGAACGCTATCGTACCCAGTTGAGTAGTGATAAGTGTTGATCGAATGCTGGGTTTGATCAACTGAATTAGGAAAACACAAGGTTTATTATGGCTATCCTAATAAATCTAAGGTTAAATGCTTGAATTGCAAGATTTCCAGGGATACCTATGATCGATGGTCAATTGGCTAAACCGAACCCCTAAACCAGAATTCAGTAAGACTGATTTCTCTTATTTGTTTAAATTTGCTATTTCTTTAATTAATTTTTGTAATTAATTTTCCCACTTAGTAATATTATCCATTCGGCTAAGAGATTACTGTTAGTTCCCTGTGGGATTCGACCTAGTACCACTTTTACTGCAAATATCTTATTGTGGGACTAGTACTAATTTTGAGGACTTCGACAACCCGTCACTATCTGTGCTTAACTTGGCAAGTATAAGATCATTTGATTTCTCAAATTTGGAGGACAGTAATTGTCCTAGTAATGATAGTCTCATTGCCCATAAGATTTTTGGACGAGGAAATGAGGAAATCCACCATGTGAAAATCCAGGACGAGTGGGTCGTTGCCCACAAATTTAGAGTAACTTTCCATGACATTGAGAATATCTATGCAATGGCAGCGGAAGTGGATGGACTTCCGCTTTGGCCCATTTAAAATCCTGATTTGGCCCATTTAAAATGCAAAATCCTGATTTGGCCCATTTAAAATCCTTTACCATAACCAATATTATATAGCCTGAGACGACTTTACCAACTCTACATTTATAATTACCATCATTTAGTGAAGAAGGCCAATTAATGTTCAACAGTTTATATCACATTAGTAATATAATTGAGTAGTAAGAACTAAAATTGACAAGATTTAACAAAATAAAGAAGTAGATTTAGGTTTCAGACTTCAGAACTTTGAAATAAACACTTCATAAAACTTTTTCCTCTTTTTCTTTCAAGTTCCTATGAAAATATCAAGGAAGAACTGTAGAAGGAAAAATAATAAACAATTTCTCCTAATCCTATAATTTAATAACATGAATATCTAATATGTTTACATATATTTCATAATGAAGAAAACTCTTTAATTTGTCTTGGTAGCATCATTTGAATAAATTTTCTCATAAACCTGAGTAGAATGTAGAACTGGACAATAAAAAGCAGCAACTCCTGATCCAGTTGCAAGCTGCAATAACTAATCCATAGAACTGATAAACAATATATAAATAATAGAACAGAGAATTTAATAACAATTTAAAAATTATAGCACACAAATATAAAATAAAAAGATGGGCATTCAGCAATGATGACTGCCATTACGATTGCGGCATTTAGCATCTTTTGGCATAAACATTTTCTTCGCAACAGGTCCAGTAATCTTCATTTCAACTCCAGGTTTCAAATCACCTAAAGATCAATCAATTAGGCCATGTTTGATTTGAAGGAAAAAGTATGAAAAGGAAAGGAAAGGAAGGGAAATATGTATAAACCTTGTATAGGTTTTCCTGTTTTTCCCTTCCTTTTTTTAACTTTTCCTTCAAAACAAACACAGCCTTAGAGTTACAAGTTAACATAACCAGAGAATTCTCCAAATTACCGTTCATCAAAGTATAAACTTTCACTACAACGACTAATAACGAGAGACTGATTCAAAAAGACATAGATAAGAAATTTGATGAGCAAACTCCTTTAGCTATCTCCCCTTGTTCATCATATAAACAAGCCGTTTCAAACATATAAAGGCCTATATAAAGACATTCGAAACTTAATTAAATGTTATAAAATAAAATAAAATAAAAAATAACTTGACACAAATGGTCAATCAAGAAAAAAAACTAAAAAACAGCAACAATTTTCAACCATCAAAACTCATCTAGGAGATAAAACAATAAGAAAAACCCATATCCTCATTATGAACACCATGTGCCAAGATCCTCCAGGAGTAGGATGGCAATTTTTCGAGAATTTTCAGATATTCGACCCATTCTGACCCTAATAGGACAGGTTTACCAAAACCCTATAGGGTTTGGGATGTTAGATTAAAACCCTATAGGGTTTAGGATTTTAGATTAAAACTTTATAGAGTTTGGGGTGGGTTTGGGTTTTGACTTTAGGGTATCCGATACCTGATACCCGGGATACATAAATATGAACCTATTATATTATATATCATGCACAAATTTATAAATTTTAAGTACTAAAATAATTATTCTATTATTAATATTTTTTATATAAATTTCTTGGGATTAAAATCATCATTTGATGTAAATCTGGATTTAATAGATTGTTTATTTCATTTAGTTATAAAATGTTAATTTTAAATATTATTTCTTTTAATTTTTAGTTAGAAATGTTAATCATATATATGTATTGATTATTTTGATAAACACAAAAATTAATAAAATCTATTTTATTTCGTTACATAACATAAAATGTGAGATGACTTGATGGCTTAAAGTAATGTTAAGAGATTTGATGCTATTATTAATTGATCTGAATTTAAATTATAGTATAAGCAGTAAAAAAGTTTTTTTAGTAAAAAACGTTTGATAAGGGATAATAGGTTAACGAGTTTGGGATGGGATGAGTTTCAAAAATTGAGAAGAAAAATCAGACGAATTTAAGACAGATTTGAAATGAGAGATGCATAATCGAATTCGGAAATGAGTACGACAATTTGTACGATACTCTACCCGTTTGCCATTCCTATCCATAGCAGAGCATGGGCTTCAACTTGTTAACAACCACACCTTACTCAATCTTCACAGCATCTCTTAAATGAATGCACAGTCAAATAGAAAACTGGAAAACAAAGTGGTTAATATTTTACCCCTTTTTTAATAATTGACGTTGACAGAAAATCTTCAAGTCTGATCAGAGGAACCGATCCCAATCCATTTATTAATGGAAGTTCGATGTAAACACAGAATTAAAACCCAACAAAAATTGATTTGGTTTTATTCCATTAATTCTGTCAGAAAAGACCCGACCCACAGATCAAGGGGAAAGAGCACGGTGAGAATCCGGATTTCCTGCACTTGGTTTCGTGTATGGGCAGGTGCACTTTCAATCAAATTTTAACACGTCGTGGTTCACATGCACACCCGTCTCACATGTGCCAAAAACTGAAACGGAAGTTTGTCTTGTTATAATTTTATAAAACATGTTTTTGAAATTAAAAAAAGAAAATGAGAAGAACTGTTCATCTTCTTCCCCAACTCGACAACCAAAGAGCGGGGGCTGGCTTCACGGAAGCACCTACATTCCTTTCCTTCTCTTATGTGAGTAACAAAAGTTGGTACTCAGAAGATCACTTTCTCTTATCTGATCATTCGTCAGTGAACCTTTATGACATCAAACAACGTTGACAAATAACTCTTTGAAGAAAAACAGCGCCAGCGCCTAATGGGGAAGTTACCGCTTGGGTAGATTGAATCTTCATTTAAGATTCAAAATCTTCTATGGTTGTTGACAATTTAAAGCAGCCAATCTGAAGTTATTTCATAGTTTGGCTAGTTCAACGTTCTTTGTGTTTTTTCTTGTATTATGTTATTCTTACTAAGTTTGTTCCAAGTAATGCATTCTAAGAAGCTTTGTGTCAACGACTCTGCGCATATTTCATTTCTTGATTTGGATCGTATTCTTTGTTTTATTTTGCTTCAGTTTCTACAGGGGTATCATCAAACAAATTGACTATTATCAACAACTGCAACTTCACAGTACAGCCCGAGGTGCAATCCGGCACCACATCAGAACAGCCAAGTATAACACGCTTCGCTCTCCAAAATGGCGAGTCTACTATCATTACCATCTTAGCTCCCTAGTCTAAATCGATTATTAGGGAAATTAGAATATGAAGGGGGATCTGCTGCTCCTCCGGTTACCGTGGCTGAATCCAAATTAAACGGAAACAGTTTGCAGTATTGATAAATGGTGGGGGTGGGGGGAGATGAGGGAGGGACAAAGGAGAGGGAAGAAGAAGAAAAAAGAAGAGATAGATAGGAAGAGGGCGAGAGAGGAGAGGAATAGTGGGTGTGAAGTCGGAATCACTCTCCAATACTCGAGTTGGGGAAGAAGATGAATTTACATCTTTTTTTAGTTTCAAAAAATGGTATGCCGGCAAATTTTCCGTTTAATTTTATGGCACATGTGAGCTAGATGTGCATGTAAAACACTACGTATTAAAATCCGATTGGAAGTACACCCTACAATACACGAAACCAAGTGCAGAAAATCCGAACTCGAGAGTCTCAGCCATGAAATCTGATTCTACACCTCACTGAACGCTCATCACACCAACCCAGCACGTTTTCAGCCGTGTATTTAGAACATCTCTCATGAATGACAATATACAAATAGCAGATGTACGGCGGATGTGCCGTGATATATCGCGCTCTACGAGAAGCAGATCCAGCGTTCCAGTTACCTGGGTTTGAACCGTCGCCCTATACTCCATATTCTGTGGGACGCCAAGTTGGGAACTTGGGACTTGGGAGGAGAATAGACTGATAGCTAGGGTCCAGCACTCCCTGACTCAACTCACTCAATACCTCTCTCTCTCTCTCCTTGCAAGTAGCTAAATCGATTAAAGAAAGAAGATAAAGCTGTAAACGTCAAGTAGCTATAAGTCTTGCAAGTAGATCAATTAAAAAGAAGAAGATAAAGCTGTAAACGTTGAATGCTAGCTTCTTCTGTATCTCTCTCTAATCTGGCTATAAAAACATTGGCAAACCTTTCTCTCCAAGGCAGACAGGATGCTCAGAGGCTAGAGCCTGAACTCACCTCCGCCACTCCTACACAACCCATTTCTTCCTTCCTGTTCCATCCTCTTCATATATATCTGCACTACCCCTCAGCGACCCCAAACACGATGACAAACCTCACCTATGTCCAACTACTCCAGGCTTCCTTTGCCGCTGTTTTCTCCCAAACCCTCCTCGCTCAGGCCCTCTTATTCCAGACCCCATTGTCTCACCACCTCATCCAATTCCTCTCCCACAATCTCACAGTCTCGATTTCATGCACCGGCTGCCTACTCATATCCATACTCTACTACTTCTACGCTCGTCCATTCCCAGTTCTGATGTTGGACTACGCCTGCTTTAAACCTGACTTCGATAGTAAGCTCAGTTTAGAAGCGTTACTGTATGTCATTCGCCGGACTCAGCCCTTCTCCGCTAAAACCGAAGAGTTCATGAAGGGCATCTGTAACAAGTCTGGCCTGGGTGATGAAACCTACTTACCCCCAGTCACCTTTCGAGCAGAGAACAGAGCTAAGTTAGTGTCCTCCATTCAAGAATCCAAGGAAGGGATCTTCTCCGCCATTGATTCACTCCTCTCCAAAACCCAGATCGACCCACAACGTATAGACATCGTCATTGTCGCCTGCGGCATGTTCGCGACGGTTCCTTCCCTTACGTCCCTCGTAGTCAATCATTACAACCTAAGGCCAGACGTTAAAACCTTCAACCTCTCAGGTATGGGCTGCAGCTCAGGCGTCATTTCCATGGACATGGCCGCCAAGCTCTTGAAAAGCAGCAGACTTATAAGGTACGCACTCGTCGTCGTCACCGAGAACCTCAGCTCGAATCGGTACTTTGGTCATGACCGCTCCATGGTCGTCGCCAACTGTATCTTCCGTGTCGGTTGTGCTGCCGCGTTGATCACGAACGACTCAAGCTGCCGCGCGGTCGCCAAGATGGAACTCGTCAACTCGCTCAGGACTCACAATGGAGCCGACGATAGCGCCTACACAGCAGCGTTTCAACTCGAAGATGAGGCCGGTAATCTCGGGATGTCACTCAAGAAAGACTTGGTTCGAGTTGCTGGCGTTGGCTTGCGTGAGCACATTCGGTCGCTTGCGCCCCGAGTTCTCCCACTGAGTCAATTAGTTTCGTATGCGTACTCGGTCGTAATGTCTGCACAATCATTCAGCGGCGAGTCGAAGCCAACTGTACCTGATTTCACGACGGCATTTGACCACATGTGTATCCACACGGGTGGGAAGGCTGTGATAGAACAGGTGTCACGAGTGCTACGACTCGGAGACGAGGTGACAGAGCCGGCTCGGATGTGTTTGCACCGATTCGGGAACACGTCTAGTAGTCTGGTATTCTACGAGTTGGGGTATTTTGAAGCCAAGAAAAGAATAAAGAGAGGAGATAAGATATGGATGCTGGCGTTTGGGACAGGGTTCAAGGTGTGTAGCCTGGTTTGGAAATCGCTGATGGATTCGTGCAAAGAAGCTGAAAATCCATGGAGCGATTGCATCCATCGATACCCATTAAAGAAGTAGTAGAAAGTTTCTGGCTGGTCGTCCTGGATGCTTGGAATGAATCCCACCTTCAGCTGGGTTGGGGAATCCATCAAACAAAGAAATAAATAAATGGCAAGGTGACAAACGGCAAGGAATAAATTATTATTATTATTATTATTATTAATAAACCAACTGGTTGGGGTCGAGTTGCTAGGAGCGCCACTTCGTTGCAGCGGATACCCGGGATCAAATTCCGTTATCACAATGTTAAAGTGAATGGGGATGGGCTCCCTCCGTTTTGTGTAATCCGATCAAAAAATATATTTGTGAAATAAGAGAGAAAATAAATGAATTGTAATCCCCACAATTTCTATATATATAAAATATAATCTTATTTGTATTTTGATTCATCCATGTTTATTAACTTTTGCCCCCAATTTATGTCTATTAGCTTTTGGCCGTCTTAACGAAATTATAAATTATTATTCACGGGAGATGTTCCCAATGGACGATGGATGTGCATGTGAGGTGCCCCCGTGTGAGGAGTATATCCTGTTCATTCAATACAATGAGTTCCAATATGCTCCTTATGATGCACGTCTCACATCGATTTCGTAACATGTATTGTAGCTGCACATTGGAAACATCTCTCGTCTTTGAATTTATTATTCATGGGGAGATGTTCCCTATACAGAGTGGGATGTGGCTGTGAGGCTGGTGTGTGGTGCACTATGCAAGGAGCAGATCCCAATTCCAATACAACAGAATCAGTCCCTCTAACGGAAGTTGCCTCTGTCTCTCTAATGTGATGCACACAGGTTGCTCCTCACAGAATGCTCTTCACACCTACCTCACAGCAACTTGTAGCTGCACATTAGGAACATTTCCCATATTTGTATGTTTTTATTCATGGGCAGAGATGATCCCTATATTCAACTGCAAGTGCTGTGAAGTGGGTGTTATGAGCTCATGGAAGGGCAATTAAAAAGTCATAATAAATATTGAAATTGTATAGTTCCCCGAATAACAATAATACTTATTTGAGTTCATCTTTCAAATGTTTTTTTTAGTGCAACTTTCATTGCAATTTATCTTTCAACAAACATGTAACAAGAAACATTGTGAAAGTACCAAGGAGTTGAGATCTTCTGCCAATAAAACATGTTCTAGCCCTGTACCAACTTGATGATCTAACACTGAACATCTCATTATAAGACTGAGACCCATCATAAAAGTGGAACCTGCAATGTATGAGATGTACAGTGTAAGATCATGTTAGTAGAGGGTTGGAATGTGTTTTGTTGGCTGGTGATTGACTCGGTGCCAAGTATTTGAAGTACATCCCCTCTTGTTGGCAATGGCATGAGCTGCATTATTACTTGTATGAAGGAGATCAATGCCTTGTGCACTTTTCGGTAAGTTACTTACCCAGATAAATGCAGTTACCTAGGTAAGTTTTTCCTGGGAAACACTTACCCGGGTAAGTACATTTTAACCATGTAAATAAGGCAATGACCATTTTAACCATAAAAATCTATTATTAAATGAGCATTTTTGTCCCATTCAAGTGTTGGAAATTTTCCCCCTAGGTGGGAAAGTTATTTACCCACCTAGGAGATGGGTATCACTTACCCCGTAAGTGGTATACAGGAAAATAAACTTTCCCTAGTCCCCGCATAAATCTGAAAAAAGAATATGGGGTTTTTGGTCAATGGAAACCAAAATCCCATTGACCACCTTTCCCCCTCTCAAAATCTGAAAAAGAACGCCCCCCAAAGGTTAAGTAAAGATTCACGAAAGAATCTGTATTTGACACTCCTTATTTTAAGCACTTATCTCCTTTTTGCAGTTAAAAACTGAGTATTAGTAGGGCATCAAAATGTTAAAAAAGATTTTTATAAACAACATCTGACATGGTAACTAGTAATTAATGGGAAGTGAATGTGTGGTAAAATCTAACTCGAGGGTGAGACTGGCTAGGTCATTTGTTTGGTTAATATAAATTAAAATATGGTGTGGTAAAATCTCAACCATCAATCTAGATAATCTGTCAACAGAATGCTGGATAGAAATTTACAACAATGGGACCAAGTATAATATTTCATACATTTATTTGATTCATTTGATTGAACCAGGTACTATAGTGGGTTTTTAGGGATTTTGGTCAATGGGACCAAGTACTATAAACTTTCCTCGGTCCCCACATAAATCTGAAAAAAGAACATAGGATTCTTGGTCAATGGAAACCAAAATCCCATTGACTAACTTTACCTCCTCTCAAAATCCAAAAAAATAACACCCCTTAGTTATTAAAATAATCAAATAATAAAACTTTCAAAACTGTAGTGGTCTATCCAATTTAGTTTTAGCCATTAAGGAACTCATAACCTTCTTAAAATCTTATGGATCCCACAACCACATCCATCATGGGATTAAATGCATCCATGTGGCTCCCATAAGACTTATATTAGAAAACTGATCATACACCAACTTGTATGAAACCCAAGTCAGACATTTACTACTACAATGATTATAATGACATTGTTAAAGTAGAAGTCCTCCTCACCATGGATCCTAGATTTTTCCTTCTTTGAAGTTGGTCTTTCCAACCCTTCTTCAATTGGGGTCTTCTTTTCTTTCTTTTTGTTCTTTTTTACTTAACAGGAAAAGGGTTTGATGGATGATGGATCCCCATTGTGCTATATGGAGAAGTCTTAAAACCCTTTGATACTCGACTCCGAATCTCCTGTTCACAAGAATTCTACTCATGTCTATCCACAACATACTACTTTCGTGTATTGGGATCATCTCTCCCCATGCATAATACTATCTAAGAGAATGAGATGTTCCTCATGCGTTGTTGAGATGTTATGTGCATGGGTAGACGTGGGCAGAGCATCTGGACTCTTGATACTCAATGTCCCAATTCTATAACCTCTTTTTGTGCTGGAATCACCATAATAAAGAGAGGTTTGAAAGACAAATTAAAAAAGGTATTCTTTAAAGTGAAGTGTTCTTGTGAGAAGCTCCAAAACAGATCAAAACCATTTAGTTTGAAAATAAATTGGTTCTTAAAACAAAAACATAGAAAATAGATAAATTTTTATGGGTGGACTAAAACATTTTATTGTATACTTTTATCACCTAATGAAACTACTCCTTTAGTTTTCTTGGAATGACCATATCCAATCCTGTTATTTCTATTTCTTCCACATACCCATCTCATCTATTGGAGTAGATAGTATTTTACATAAATTTATTAGTATGTTTAAGGAAGCATGCATCGGATCAGAAGGGTCTTAGAAGATCAACTGTGCCAAAAATCAGCAATGTAGTTTTATAAATATTATCAAAACCAGATAAAACCCATTTATGGTAGAACAGTGCTTTAGTTGGGATGCACTTAATGGTCGATTTCCATTCTTTAAAATTGTGACAGATCAAAGTTATTAGGTGGACCTGGGTGGGGGTGGCATACTTATAAATAGGCCAATTTCTGCAGACACAAGAGACAGTCATTGTGTAGTAAGAGAAAAACACTTAAAAAATTGAAGCCTGAAGGGCGATTTTTGCAGATTAATTTACAGGCCTGGGATGCCACTTGATGAGGGTCTCCTCATTGCTACTGAGATATTAAGTAGATAGGATAAGGGTCGGCAGAAATTGAACCCCACAAGAGTTAACTCTGATTTCAACTGTTTGATTGGGCTGAATTAGAATCTCATTCTCATTCTTGGTGGAATGTCATTTCTTTCCTCTTTCTTGAGAAACCTGATTTCAATTCCCACTTATATGAACCGACTATAGGAATAGACTATTCCGATTTTGGAGGGATTTTGATTCTAACTTTTTTTTTCACAAATGGTGATTCTGAGCCAGCCAGACATGCTCTGCACATCTGTGAAATCAATTTACAGTGAAGAAGCAAGCACACAGTATGAGTCCTCAACGGTCTTCTCATTAATGGTATACTCGTTCCTTGATCACGCCGCCTGATTTTAAATTTGACAAGCAATGTGACTAATAGAGTATAGAGTATAGATATGACACATTTTAATTTAATATGCTTTGAAAAGCCGACCACGTCATCAGTTTGATCCTGAGATCCCAGATCATTCCTCAATGGGATAGATGCTATGACCATGGTTTTTAAAACCGGACTAAATCGGACAGTTGGACGGGAAAAACTCGAACAGGTTCCTCAAAATTGAGATTTCTCAAAAAACCATCGATTTTGGTCAACAAACTGCTATTTCGGGCGGTTAATCATTCAAACTGTTTGAACGATTTTGATCATTTTTTATTTTTTTTTGTCAGAATGGACCCGACCTTCGACCCGATAACCAGACCCCTGACCAATTCGGTATTCAAGTTGGTTTTAAAAACCATGGCTATGACCACCTAGAGGGGACGGATCTAATCTCAGATCATTTAAGCCAACAACCACAAGAAGATGATTACAGTCATGTGGGTATTTTGTTTTGTTTATATGAAAAATAAAAGAAAAATTGGAAAAGCTCATCAAGACAATCGCTCTCTTGAAACTACCATTTGTTAGGCGCAATTTGATTTAAATTTTCATTCTGCTATTTCTTGCTGGAAGAAAATTCCATCTCTAATTAGAAATATAATGCAGGAATTATAGTGGGAAGAAGGAGGTGAAGGATGATACCTATTCAATTTGCTAAGATAATGAAAGTTATTTGTCAAAGAAACAAAATAAACAAAAAGGATGAGATACATGTTTGATCCGAAAGTATCATACATGATGTCTTAATCACTAATCAATGTGTTACGTCTAATGGTTTGATTGGATAAAAATCCTTTTCCTAATGCAATCAGTGTGTTATTAATTTCTTGATCATCATCAGCACTATTGCACTAACAAATAATCAGTGTGTAGATAAAGCAAAGTCATTAGTCCCTGTTTGGAAATGTTTCCATTTGTTTCTATTTTTTTAGAAACTTTTGTGTTAAAACAAGAATTTTATTTCTTAATCTTGAGGAATAATAAAGGCATTTGGCAAATTGTTCTTTGA